CGACAAAGTCCCATATGGTCTAGTGGTTAGGATTTGGCGCTTTCACCGCCAAAGCCCGGGTTCAATTCCCGGTGTAGGAACACCTGTTTTAGATTGCAGGTCAGTTGAACATCGCAGCTTGTATAAAATTTTCATAGACAATTTAATTAAAATATATAAATTGGCTTCTCGTATTTGTTGCCTTATTACAAGAGAATATATAATACCCGATGTGCAGTTCATGTCACAAATATCATAATATTTGCCTTATTTGTGTTTTCCCGATAAATAGGAAACGCCTTCAAATGTCAACGTCCCATATGGTCTAGTGGCTAGTATTTGGCGCTCTCACCGTCAAGGCCCGGTTTCATTTCCTGGTGTGGGAAAACCTGTTTTAGATTCTTGGTCAGGTGAACATCGCGGTTTGTACAAAATTCTCGTAGACAATTTAATTAAAAGATATAAATTGGCCTCTCGTATTTGTTGGATTATTAAAAGAGAATATATAATATTCGACATTCAGTTCATGTCACGTCACAAGTATCCGATTATATGCAATACTTATGTATTCCCGACAAATACGAAACGCCTTCACACGTGAACGTCCCAGATAGTCTAGTGGTTAGGATTCGGCGATCTCATCGCCAAGTCCAGGGTTCAATTACCGGTGTGAGAAAACCTGTTTTAGATTCCTGGTCAGTTGAACATCGCAGCTTGTATAAAATTCTTGTAGACAATTTAATTAAAAGATATAAATTGGCCTCACGTATTTGTTGGCTTGATTACAAGAGAATATATAATACACGACGTGCAGTTCATGTCACAAGTATCCTATTATATGCCTTAATTGTGTTTCTCCGATAAATAGGAAACGCCTTCATATGTCAACGTTCCATATGGTCTAGTGCTTAGGATTTGGCGCTTTCACCGCCGAGGCCCGGTTCAATTCACCTGTTTTAGATTTCTGGTCAGTTAAACATCGCGGCTTGTACAAAATTCTCATAAACAATTTAATTAAAAAATATAAATTGACCTCTCGTATTTGTTGCCTTATTACAAGAGAATATATAATACACGGCGTGCAGTTCATGTCACAAGTATCCTATTGTATGCCATACTTGTGTTTTCCCGATAAATAGGAAACGCCTTCAAATGTAAACGTCCTATATGGTCTAGTGGTTCGGATTTGGCGCTTTCACAGCCAAGGCCCAGGTTCAATTCCCGGTGTGGGAACACTAGTTTTAGATTCCTGGTCAGTTGAACATCGCGGCTTCTGCAAAATTCTTGTAGACAATTTAATTAAAAGATATAAATTGGCCTCTCGTATTTGTTGCCTTATTACAAGAGAATATATAATACACGACGTGCAGTTCATGTCACACTTATCCTATTATATGCCTTACTTGTGTTTTTCCGATAAATAGGAAACGCCTTCATATGTAAATGTTCCATATGGTCTAGTGCTTAGGATTTGGCGCTTTCACCGCCGAGGCCCGGTTCAATTCCTGGTGTGGGAACACCTGTTTTAGATTTGTGGTCAGTTAAACATCGCGGCTTGTACAAAATTCTCATAAACAATTTAATTAAAAGATATAAATTGACCTCTCGTATTTGTTGCCTTATTACAAGAGAACATATAATACACGACGTGCAGTTCATGTCACAAGTATCCTAATATATGCCTTACTAGTGTTTTTCCGATAAATAGGTAACGCCTTCACACGACAACGTCCCATATGGTCTATATATAATAGCATATATAATACACGAAGTGCAGTTCATGACACAAGTATCCTATTATACGCCTTACTTGATTTTTCCCGATAAATAGGAAACGCCTTTATATCTAATTAAAAGATATAAATTGGCCTCTTGTATTTGTTGGCTTGATTACAAGAGAATATATAATACACGACGTGCAGTTCATGGCACGTCACAAGTATCCCATGATATGCCTTACATGTGTATTCCTGATAAATAGGAAACGCCTTCAAACGTCATCGTCCCATATGGTCTTGTGGTTAGGATTTGGCGCTTTCGCCGCCAAGCCCGAGTTCAATTCCTGTTGTAGGAACACCTTTTTTTGATTCCTGGTCATTTGAACATCATAGCTTGTACACAATTCTCATAGACAATTTAATTAAAATATATAAATTGGCCTCTCGTAATTGTTTGCTTGATTACAGGAGAA